TTTTTTTTATTCCTGCTCACTTGCTAATAGTGTCCTGTCAATTACCGAGGACTGTTCTACAAAATTAAACTATTATTGTTGAATTCCAATGTCTGAGTTCGTATTTTTAAGCCAGTTGCAGATCGTACCTCGTGAAGGCTTGCCAAGTATTTATAAGCTTTTCGACAAGACTCGTCCTTCTTCGCATCCTGCAACAGAAACGAAACGCTACACAACTTGAAATAGCGTAACCAAAGTTACAAACCGTTACAGCAAAACCTAATCTGCGATAACATAGCAGAAACTACTGCACTCAGAAGCCTGAACTGACCCGGCAAGGCTGTATTCTTTCACGTTGTCACGCTGAAACGTCAAACATCGCAACATTGGGTGACCCATCGAGCACGTCAACGGATTCCCTTAACCCAAAGAAGCAGTCGAACTAATGCTGTTTTCTCGACTAATTTGAGACGGTATGCTCTTCAAGTTAACAGCAATAAACAACAAACTAACAAATTAATCCGGCAACCAAACTGTGGGCGTCACGACTACGAGAAAATTTCTACATTTTTCAAAATTCTCGACTTAAATCTAGAATGTACAAACCCTAAATATAAGCTCATCAGTGACAGCAAAGGTTCGATCCAGCTTCCCCGATAATTGGTTTATTTCCTTTTGAACATCTTTGGTGTCGATGAGAATCTACAGCATGAAAACAAAAGAAATGAGAAGGGAAGAGAAGGCATTTTGGCATTAAAATACCGACTAAATAACAAACAGGCTGACAAAACCGCAATGAGAGCAACTGCACTGGACAACCACCAACCTTGTTGATTTCCTCTTTCTGTTTCTTGATGTTTCCGACAATTTCCAGGATACGCCGAGTGTACGCTGACCGGTTCACATCTTTGCTCATGGTCTCATATTCAACAACCTGGAAAAACACAAATGAAGATATGAATGAGAGAGCTAATAACTCAGTTACAGGAGTGAAAATCTTTGCCTTTCTAAGCACCAGGAGGACGCTCTACAACTGGGATGTCATTAGATTCTCCCAAGTGGGGTTTTCAGAACTTATTAAGTCATGTTGCAGCCCTCGTAAGGTCTCACATGAATGGCCTGAAACCCTTTGAGAGGACAATAGAACAAACAACAGAAACAATGCCCCCAAGCTCCAAAACAATAACAGCGGCTGACAATGAAGAGAATTACAAGCTTACGAGAGCTGCTACACCACCGAACTAATTTACAGCATTAGAATCGTAGAATCGTAAAAGCGAGGCCACATGACTAGGTTCAAATGTGACAAACGTGTTTTCCAACGTGTGATCTCTCTTTCTCCATTTTCTAGACCCTTCGCACAAACGACAGCGTCGCACAAACCTCTGAAACCAAACTCCGCCCCTTCCTTGTCATTTAGGATCGAAAACGATTATTGCCTAGCATTTTTAAAAACTTAGAAACTTGTGACGACTACTGTACTTCCAAATAGCATGCATCAAAACTGCAAGATCGCCGAATGAAGTACATATAAAATAATACAGTGTACGAAATAAGCTGATTTTATAGTGAAGTGCCGGTAGAAGTGATCTTTCTATAACATTAGGGACAACAAATGCGTATAAGAAAAATTGTCACACGCATTACCAATTGTTTATAAATGTCTTCTTTCCCTCTCGCTTCATCTGCAACTTCCTTCATTCTTTCTCTCAAAGCTTTAATCTCCTCCAGTTGCTTCTGAGCCTCAGACTGAAAGCAAACAACAACAACAAACATCAAACAAAATAACACCATGTGTACTCCAACTTTTCACGTTTATCGTTGGTGTTCCGTGCCCTCTTTCCCAATCTTAATCATAGCTGTATTAGTCCTTTCTGGTCAATATATATACCGCTGATGTTTTTCTACATAAATATACTCTTGAAAGAGCTCGGTCATGGTATTTTGGCCACGTACAAAATTCCCTTTAACTGAAGATAAGAAAATACTAAAGAGATAATAATCAACCATAAAGGAAGAAGGATGGTTACGGATGAAGAAGATGGACGCGGATTACAAACAACGAACGTGAAAAATCTAGGCTAAACTTTTTAAGATGAGTAAACCGCGACTTAGCTCCTCTAATTCTGAGGTGTCCTTCGAATTGAATTCGATACGAAAGTGACATGGATGCTCGACGAAAATTTTAATTTTTAAATTTTACAAGTCCCCCGGGTTTTGCGTCTCGTAAAACAAAAAAATGGCATTATTTATTGTGGCACAACTCATGGGAAACTCTTCTGGTAGTTTCACGGAAAAGGCCATCATACATGGACTGCAGCGTTTCCTGGGTAGATCGGCTATAAAATCCACATCTTGTTCCCAAGTAACTCTCGCATTTTCAAATACCGTAAAAATACCATGAGGCAAAACAATAGGCACTAACCACTCTGTTGGCATTGAGCTGTTTGAGTTCCCTGTACTGATCAATTAGAGGAGCCCTGTGTTTCTCCCACTGCTGAGCCAAGTTCACAAGTCGCTGTGCGCTCGCATCTACAACACTCTGCAATAAGAATTCATATCCATGGTTTATGCTACAAATCAAGTGACCTGGAATTTAGCACTAGACTACTCTTTCAAGAAATGCGAAAGGAAATACAGGAGACAAGAGCAAAGGTCTACACCATTTACAAGGTTCTTTAGGGGCTATAACTGGCCAAGCGAAAGCAAACGATAAAGATAACAAAAAGAGATCAAGTGGAGAAGAGTTGTATTTCACCAAGAGTATTTCGTTATCACCTGCAATTTAGCGATGTTATTCTCTGCGTCAGGAAGCAAGTCCATGGTTTTTTTCTTCACTTTGTAAACCTCCTCCTGTTCTGAGTTCTTGGCCTTTTGGCTGGATATCTGTTCGTTTGTCTGAAATAAAACACGTTTGTCTAAACGTCAGTGCACTTAATACCAAGGAGACACTGTTCACTCTTTTGAAGCATATTAATCACACATGTAGAAAACCGTGTCATTCCAGCAGGGAGGTCAGAATTCTATAAACAAATATATTGAAGAACTAGAAGCCCTGGTCACGCTTTCCACCGCAGATTCCTTTGATTTTCTTGCTCACAGTTTTGTTCAAGGAAACACTCCTAATCTATCCAGAACGAGGTCCTGGAGCAAGTAGAAATGGGGCCATTGAAAAACGCGAATAAACCGTAGGCAAAGATTGTGTTACTTCCGCTAAGTTTCCAAATTCTACCGAGAAGTGAGAGAAAAGAGGGTAGAACATTCTGCAATTCATCCCCCTGTCACAGTCATAGAGGAAATCAATTTAGCATAAAAAAACAAGTTTGCGTTGGCTGGTTTGTACAAACCCATTTTGAACTCCAGAGTTACTCGTTATGACATGTCGTTAAGGCTCGTCGACCAGGTGACTAAAAGGCTCTTGCGAAGAGAATGCTACCAACCCAGAACGTTGCGTCCAGAATTCAGACCAGTCTGTAGTGACATTAAACCGCATTTGACGCGGAATAATTTTGTGAAAATCTCAGTTAAGGTTGGCTTTTGTGTAAAACGGTTCAGCTAAGGAGATGACCTGTGCAAACATTTCACTTTAATCAATCAGCCACTAACCTGTTGAATACCGGCCTGGGATTTTCTGATTTCCACTTCACCGTGTTCAATGGAGGCGTTCAGTTCGCTTAGTTTAGACTGAAGCGCTTCCAGTTCTTCCTCTCTCTTCTTCCTCATTTCCTGCGGGAATAAAAACACATACAATTTGCTATTTAATATATGGAGTGAGTTTACAAATGCGATATAACAAAATCGTCACCACGTGCTTGGTTGTGTGCAAAACGTTTCAACAAATCAAAGCAGAGGTATTATTTCGTCCACCAATCAAGTGCTAGCACGCGAACGCAGACGTATTTCCGGCTGTCGCTTGTCTCTCTTAATAGGGAGCTTAAGCACGTTTTGAGACGCGGACGGTAACCGGAAGAGACGATTTCGCATGCTAGGACCGTATTGTCTCCCAGATTTTTTATACTACTCATCTCTAATGAAGAAAAGATACTTAGCAATGTGAATATGGTTGTGTGAAGACAAGTTAAAAGTGAAAGTAGCTCACTTCCGGCTACCGTCCGCGTCTCAAAAACGCGCGTGCTTAAGCCCTATTTTCGGCGAAGACAAGTGACAGCCAGAAATACGTCTGCGTTCGCTGGCTAATCAAGTGCAAGGCCAAACTAAAAAGCAATTTTTCCCGCGTTTTTACGAATTTTTTTTTTATACTAGATACATGTAGTGATTGTCTTAGTTTTACACGAAACAGTGACCATTCTTCTATTAAACATAAATTGGGCCAGTTCTAATCAGTGCTATGTTGAACGTTCAAAAGAGAAGTGAACAAGAGCAGGTGAAAAGGGGTGCATATGGTAATGATGTAGAAACCCTCTTCCCTTTATTAGGACCCATCTCAATAAGGACCCTCTCGCCAACAGAGACACTTGGGTGAATGGACTTCTATGACCAAAATAAACAAAAAAGCTGCTGAAATTAGGCAACAATATGTTTCACCTCTTCCGTGTCCACTTTAGGAGGTCCTTCCTCACTCAGGCCCACCATGGCAGCGGCCTTTTGCTCATCCTAACAAAGAGAAAAAAACATATTAAATCATACTCAATAGTTACTGCAGAGATAACTGGTCTATGTAAACGCCAGGTGGTAAATTTTAATCTGCCGTTCCTTTGTTCAAATAGGCTGGTTTGTTGTGCAGCAGTATTTTTTAGTCTTGATTACATTTTAAAAATTACATTAAAACTTCTAATTTTTATTGGTCACTGAATACGGTGGATCAAACCGTACAGATTGTAAGGCTATTTTTAGACCATATCAGTTGGCCTATATTGGACATGACTGCTTCAATGCAAAACAAATTCGTCAGCTTAATTAAAATATAGTCAATTTTTTTCACAATTCTACAACAAAGAGTTCAAAATTGTGTCCAGATTCGATAGAAATCTTACTTGTGCAAACTGAAGTTGTTCGGTGCGAGTAAACCTGGATCCCTTAGATGGTGCGGCAATTCCTGATGTTCTGTCTGTGATAGAAAAAATGTAACAAAACAAAACGTCAAATTTTACAACCAATATGCCTTTTGTAACAGACAGTCACATGGTACAAAATCCACCAGCCATGCTGGAAGACAAGCTACACATTGAGACATAAAAAAACAAAGAAAAGTCATGCTTGACTGGTTGAAATCACTTTGTTTTGGAGGCTTTGACATTCTTTTTGCCTACCAGCAGGACGGATTTTGTACAATGTACCAGGTGATCGTTTGTTCCATGAAGTCAATTTATCCACCAAATTCTGTCACAGGAGCCACATGACAACAAATACAAACAAGGCAATGCTAATTCTGCACCAAGACTAGCTTATATACCCAATGACTATCATCCTAACCACTCCAATACAGTTAACAGAGATTTTGGCAACTTTGCCTCAGACGCTGAGATCGACATACAAAATCTGCTTATTGCTTTTCGTACATTTTCTATACTTTGCCTTGAAAGAATAAATGAAGGGGTGATGAAAAAAGACCATAAGAGACATCTGATAGAGTGCAAGATTCTCCTAGCAAACTGCTTTTAGCTTGCTTCTATGCAAAAAGGAGAATTTGGCATGAGATCAAGAGTCATTTAGGGCTTTTTTCCACATGCCCATTAAAATATTATATTCAAGATAACGTTTCCCTGCCAACGAATAACAAACTTAAAATCACACAAATACATGTAATACTTTTATTATCAATTTCATGTTTCTTATCATCACTGATGGAGTTTTGAATGTTATAGCACATTATTTTTTTGTACCTGACAGAGATGAGACAATGTCACTTAGGTCAGCATTTGTAGCAGCATTCTGATTAGCTCTCTGCAGCTCACTCTGCAAGTGCTGTTTGATTTTTTTCTCCAAACGTTCCCTCTTCTGTGCAAGGTATTCCTACAAAGTTAAATTCCCAGCCTGCAGTCTTAGTAACAACATTTCATAGTTGTTGTTTATTTTTCGCCAACTGATCGGAGCAAAGCTATCAGTTTTGCCACATAATCAGTTGAAAAACCAAGCTAAATCAAGTGCCTACCCCTTCCAATCCATAGTTTCCATCTGCTTCCAAAACAAAATCTGCTAGTTGGTAAGCATACAAAGCTAATTTGATTTCTGAGACCATGTAGAGGTTTTCCAAGAATCAGGGCCCAGTTGTTTTCAGCTTGGATGAAGCAATGCATCCAAAAGAAATATCACTGTTCAGTGGATTGTGGATAATCACATTTATACTAACACTAGATAGCAATTTGCCCATTTCATCATCATTCTCCCTTTAAAACAAGCAGAACCAGGGCAACAGTCTCAGCTCATCACCCACACAACTTCTTGTCACCAAAAACTGCTGCTATGAATTTCTTCAAGGACTTCACTCACAAAGGAAGTTGATCAGCACACCTACCTCTTTGGATAGTCGTGATGCTAGTCCACTCTGATTCCATTCATTTTCCCACTCGTTAGCCAGGGTAACCGCTATAGCATTGGCCTCGAGCACAGATGCTGGTACATCTTGACGGGATGAAGGTTGACTTGTAATGAATGGCATTGAACTGCTGTTGTAGTACATCTTCAACTCTGACATAAAGAACAGAAAACACAATTGACATTCATTTGGTAAATAATGCTATTTTAAGCACCTGAGTAAGGCACAAACTTACCTGTAAAAGGAGGGTTTCACAGTTTGGCACATGTGCACAGATTAGCATGAACATCAAGGTGGTTGCTAACAGTTTCCAGCACTTTCCAAGACTTTGATGGGTCATTATAACTAGTTTTTATCAGTTGATGTTACAATCATGGTATCAAAAAACTGCCCAGTCATTGGACAACACATTGTTATCATTTTCATGAGACAATGCATTACCATAGCAACAGTGTGACCTGCTAAAAACACCTTAATTTTAGCTTTTACTCCTATTCACTACAACAATGAGCTCAGTGATCCCCATTTCTATTTCTGAATTTTGATTTGCAGGGTGAGATGAAACTTTTGCAAAGTTTTAAAAAATTCTGTCAGGAGGGTTCAGAGCCACCTTAAATTTTTGAAAATTTAGATAAACAGAGGTAGCATTCATTTGTCAAAGCATATTGTGTAACAAAAACTCTGGAAACTGTTGCCAGGCTCCTTTAATACCTTTGTTGCTTTCTTATTAAACCACACATACCTCAGCAATCAAAGATGTACTGTGACTACAACTAGTAGTAGGATGACTGATGCACAGATTTTGTGGAAGATGTCAATAGATTTACACACAAAAAATGTCAAATTAGGCACTGACCATTGAGTGTACTCTTCGACAAGAAGGATTTATTCTGAACATATACACACCAGCATCCAATGGGTATCTAAACAGTGGAATTGATTGGTGCATGGTATTCGGGAACATGCAAACATATTGTCATTATAAATTTATTCCAATGAGAAAGGCCACCTTGTTTTCCACAACTGACCATGAAAGTTTCAAAGGAAAGCTTCCTGCACTAGTCATGAGCTTTCAAAAACAGCAGGATTGAATGCGTTTAAGTTATAGTTTGTATATTTGCCAAGCTGTGAAACCATCCCTTTAACAAGAGAATTACTACACTACAGTTCAAAGATCACCAAAGATAAGCAGACTTGTACAAGAATCAGTAGAGACCTAAGTTTACAGTGCAAAGGAAATAATCTGAACCAAAACACAGAAATCAAACTCTCATTTGTTGGAAATGAAATATCACCTTTTGGCATTTTCTTGGTCAAATCTCCAAGACCTTCCGGGACTCTCAGAGGACAAGCATGAAATCTTCTGACAGATCTGGCTCCCTGTGAAATACAGTTTTTTCTTATTAACCAAGCACTGGGAGAATATTGCACTTGTTCAGTTAAACGCAGGATATATGCCACCCTACTCATTACACTGAGAGAAACCACTAATGACAATAAGACAAGTACATATAGAAAGGTAGGCTGGGAATAAACACAAACCTCTCTGTGCCAGACTCTTGGCTTTGTTCCGCTCCAGCCAATGTTATCTTTCTTGCAGAATGAAGGTGTCCAAGGCCTAGTCAGTCGTTTGGACAACTCAGCTGATATTCGTCTGTGCAGCATCACAGAGGAGCCTGGTTAGAAAAAAATGTAACTGCTTATTTGAAAAGTCAGGATGCAAACTAGTGACCCCAAAGGGAAAACAAAACAGTTCAAGTTAAAGTAAGGTCTAAAGGATATAAATTGGGTACATGAAATTAGCAATTTTGGAATTCGTGGGGGTCACAAAATTTTGCTGTTTTGTTCCTGGAGGGGGAAAGGGGAGGGTATTTGGATTTCTTGGGAGTGGGGGGTGGGGGCTATTACCTCCTCTATGGTGGAACAAAGAGAGCAAGGCATTTATTCAGGGTTATGTTTTCATAGGCAAGATACTTCCCTGAAAGGTCTGCCTGTTGTTTTCATTCAAGCCACAGGCAAAAACTTACCTAAAGGTTCACTAGCAGATTCTGAACTCTCTTTTGGAAGATTCTCCACTAAAAACATAAACACCTTTCTGATATCAGCTTCATTGGAATAGAGAAAGGTTTGATATCCTATCTCACCACGGTAACCAACCTCCTACAATGACAAACAGACATGTGATGGTTAACCATTGATTATATGCAGGGTTTCATTACTGTTTCTAGCAGGAGGGTAACTGGTTTACTCAGGCGGGCAAAACATTTTGAACTAAACTTCTTTATAAGAAAAACTTTCCTCTAGGTGGTCAAACTGGGTGGGCAAAATCATCCTCACAGCCGTTCAATTTGCCTGGCACCGGGCCCTTAATGAAACCCCTGCATATGTATGGATATGAAAAACATAAATTAACGAGCACACCTCACTTCAGTCTATATATATAAAACCCTGGCCCACAAAAGTCACGGGAAGTATCTGGCTTCTGCTTCCGTTAATGTTTGCCTTGATCTGGCCTGGACTTGGGCCTATTTGTATTAACTTTGATCAAATTTTCATCCATCAATCCAAGTTTTTCATAGTTTGGCCATCAAAACATGCAACTAGTTGTAACTCTCTGTTTGGCTAAGAGTCTAAAACCATTGATGGTCAGTACCAAGAATGCCAGCATTATTTTGAATGGGTCCAATTTGAAAGTCCACATTACACAGAATCCTAATCATTCTGTGCAGACTCAGAGGTCATTCCACTCAAATCTGATTGGCTGACACACACACAAAAAATTGGTGCTCTGGGATTCCCAAGGCAATATGATCATTTATTTTATGGGAACAAGGGATATTTTTTGATTAATTTGAGGGAACAAGGGATATCTCAAACTACTAACAAGAAATTTGATCGGAAATATAAGGAGGAACAAAATTTCTTTATAGGGAAGATGGGAGAAAAAGCAGAATTTTTAACAGATCAGGAGAACATGTATCCAACTTGGGAGGTCTTCAAAAGGTGTCAATTCTTGGTGCAGACCAAACATATCACGGCTTGTGTGACAAACACCAATGTGTAAATGATTGATGATTTACCAAACACACCTGGCAAGCAGTAGCTAAAGTTGTCCCAAGTCGAAACTTTGAGGACATGCTAGCAGGCAGCACAGATGGTATCTGCAGATCATCCTTGATCAACCGAAGGCATTTTGATGTTGCTGCCACTATCATAGCTGTGGTGAACTCCCTTAAGCTTGACACATCTTCAGGGATGTCACTGTTTAGAGTAAAGAAGAGATTGATAACGGTACTGTTGTAGGCAAGCATCATTAAAATATTATGGGAATGTTTTCCAGTGAGAACCATATATTATTAATAAGTAATCATATGGTTTTTCTCGTTCAATTTGGAATTAATTTGCACTTGTGAGTTTTTTAAAAAGCTGAAATTACACTCACCAAAGCGGCTCGTGCAATTTCTGCTTTTTGAAAACTCACAAGTGCAAATCAATTCCAAACTCGAAACCATATGATAACCTATACTAATACACTTGACAAATAATTACCAGTGGAAATTTGAAACACGAGTGCAAATTTGACACATGCAAATTACAAATTACAATGAAGATATCTGAAGTTAGCACAAAGACACTCATGACTACCGAAGGTAATCCGAGGCATTTTGAAGGTGGACGGAGTTCAGCTGATACATTCGGAAGATAGCTGAAGGTAACTAGATGTTTTCCTAGCACTTCCAAAGATCACCCTAACCTTTCTGAAGATCAACAAATATCACCCAAACATTTTGGAACACCTCCACCAATCACCTGAACCCTTCTGGAGATAACTGAAGATTGCCAAAGATTTCTGAAGATCACCAACACCCCACCAAAGACTTCTTGGGAAGTCTTGTGAATATTTTCGAAAAATGTTCAAATGTGTTTGAATACCAAACACACTGCAAACTGGCTGAGGAAACAATGTGTTGAGGATCTTATATAACATGTTTTCAAGTGTGTTATGAACAAGTAATCATAAGATTATTCGCATGCAATTTGGAGTAATTGACCACTTGCAAATTTTTCAAAGACTACAAATTGCACACGCCCATAATTTTGCTGGCCTTTGAAAAATTTACTTGTGCTTATTTATTCCAATTGCACTCGAAATCATATGATTACCTATACAAAACATGTGTGACACATAAGGTAAAATCGATCAATAATAATATTGCAATTATTACACGTTGTTCCATCGTATTTGACTTTTTCTTACATTAACTGAGAAGATAGGTCGAAGATAGGAGTGTAATTACAAGATAACGTGAGTGGATTCAAACTTAATTTCCAGAGGTTGAATTACAAATCTTCCCAAAAACATTCGGACACAGTTCCCCCACTTTAAATACAGTATGGACATAAAACAGCTATGATATTGTTGGATTATTGTTAGACAAAAAGGAAACAAGTTGTAAGGTGAATACTCACCAGCCGATTTGCCTGAACGTGTGAATGATAATATTGTCAACTTCTTCCATCTTGGATCGATCGATCGCAAACACACCGACCGGGAGGCATGGGTTTTAGTGTCTACTTTCGCCCCAGTTCTTCTCTTCCAACAGGAGGAAATGTGTAGCACGACGGATGTCCACGACGAAAAGACCGAGGAAAAGTGTTATTCAAGCACTAGCTTGAGAGTATTCCATCTCTGTTTGAAAGTGCCAATTAAATGACTGTATGAGCCATTTTCGATTATGGTTTCTGATGCCAAGCGATTCAATTATGAGAACAGAAAAACGAAAAAAAATGTTGTGCTAATACAACAGCGAATTGCGGCTCAGCGTCATTAAAAAATATGTTTTAACTGATTTATGTTCACGGTTTTTAAAATGCTATTTATAATTTTATTATATATACATACTTCTATCTTTTTCTGTTTTGTTTTCTTTGTATCAACTTGTATAAGTAATTTCCGCCACTCCTTTTAGTTTCGAAATATGTGTTGCGACATCCACCATAATATAACATTTTCATTTTATTTTCATAATTTAGTAACATCAAAACCTGAAGAAGGCTGGTCTGGCGAAATTTCTGACGAAATATTGTTTCAAATATACTACGTCGTGTCAGCCTTGCATTAGTCTTTGACTTAGTATCATTTTACTTTTCAAGTTCTCCTGTGAGATAGCAGGATCTTAGTTCACGATTTTGCAATTGATTTAGCATAAAAAAGTGAATTTGCTACACCAGTGATTTATCGACCACTTTAGTGATAAGTAATTAGGCTCTGGGACCCGTTTCTCGAAAGCCCCGGAAACTTTTCGGGCCCGTAAAGCCATTTTCAGTCCATCTGTATCTAAAAACGGAGAAGTGTATACGCCTGAAACTTCTTGTATGAAGGGTGCTTTTCTTCATATTGGGAATATGTGAATAAAACAGTTCTGTAATCGTAAGGTTCGAGATTTTGCGATGGCTTTACGGGCCCGAAAAGTTTCCGGGGCTTTCGAGAAACGGGTCCCTGGTCTCTTTGATCATTTGTAAGGTAACTAATCAAGTTCAAGTATTTTGTCGTGTTTATGATTAATCGTATCATCTGGGGTTTTTAATATGTCTTTTCTTCCTCGGCTGAAATTGATAGAAATCCCTTTTGTCGCGATATGTGAGAAATGTTTGATTTGCGTGCGAGGAGCGTTGAGATGTGTTGATAAATTTCCTGGGAACATCCACAGCAAGTTAGGATTGCTACAAAAGTTCAAGTGAACGTCAGCATTCAAAGCAAGTGTACGGTTATTACTGGATTATGGATAACACCGAGGAAATACTTAATTTTTTTCCACGAAAAATAAAAACTACTTGACTGTAACGATCAAACACAGGTAAATATACTGGCAGCTGCAAAATTTTGTCACTCGCTCGCTCGCCGAGAATTAAACTACATGGAATATGAATTCAACTATTTCTTCGACTCAGAACGGATCCAGAACTATAGAGTGCTATTTCGTATTCTTATCTCAGTTGCTACGCAAACCCTTTCTTCTGACTTCCATTCAGGCTGTGCTTATCTTTTCGATAGCTGTGCACTTTTCCACGTGCTCGCTTACGATTTTGTTAAATGTTTTGGTAATTGTCGGCGTCAAAACCAAACGGAGGTTAAATACAAAAGCCAACATACTGCTGGCCTGCTTGGCATCCACAGACGTTTCAGTGGGTTTACTTGTTCAGCCATGTCATGTTGCCATGGAGATTATTTTACTTTTACCAAGCGGCAATGTCTCGACTACACACTTCTGCGCTTTAACCGACGCACTGGGATGGATTTTTGACATTTTTTGCACCGCATCCTTGTATCATCTTGTCTTGATTAGTGGAGAGCGTTATGCTGCTTTAAAACACCCTATTTTTCATAACAGGAGCGTCACTAACACCAGTTTAGTGATCTATTCAGTAACGGCATGGCTCATCGCTCTTGCTACTTGTCTTTTATTGATCATTAGTGACATACTTCTCACCCTCAGCAACACATTGCGAGGAATCTGCGTGGTGTTAATTTTCTGTTTTTGTGTCCTTGTGTATAAAGAAGTGCGCTGCTATAAGAAACAAGCCATGGGTCAACAGCTTTCCCTTGAAGTCAAGAAAAAAATGTTCAACGAGATAAGAATTGTGAAAACTACAATGACAATCACTGTTATGGCTTTGATCTGCTATGTTCCAACCATTGTATTTTTTATGGCAGCTGGACAGGCCGGTGTCGAGGGATATTCGCCTGAATTTTCGTGCGGTTTTCTCATCCTCGCCACCTTGCTGAGTATTCTAAATTCTTTATTTAACCCGTTGATGTACGCAGTGAGAAGTAGGCGTTTTCGCGTTGCTTCCATCCAGCTGTTAACAAGGCGAAGTTTTCATCAAGCAAAACGAATTGAAGAACTGTTATTTGGAGAAAGACGGCGACCGCAACAAAACATCGCGAAAGTAAATGGGGATGGCCGTAGGAACAACCGTATTGATAGACCCTGATGAGGCTGCCCCACAAGTCATTGAACTTCGAGCCTGTAGCTTAACTGAATAATTCTATCATTTGGATATTCTGGCTTTGTAGGAATGTGCAAATATTGTTTTGATTTTCGCTTGCTGCTTAACTATAGTGAAATGTATCCCAAAACGGGTCTTCATTGTGATTGACAGTGCCATTTAAAAGAGAAGAATTAACTATTTTCTTTGATCCGATCAAGAGGGATGGATTTTGGGGAACGAGAAATGCTGAACGAGAAAGTAAGAATTTCATACTGTTTAGTTAAAATAAAAACACATAATTGTATTGTATTTACAAATTTTCCATACAGAAAATTATATGGTTTTGTTTTTTTGTGCAAAATTTCTCGTGGTAATTTCAGCCTGAAATATATTCTTATAAAAAGAGAGTGTAGTGTTCAATAATAATAATCAATATTTAAACAGGGTGACCCCTTCAGTCGCAGGACTGGTATCAACGGGGGCCCTGTAAATAAGTCAGTAACTCGATAGATACACCACTATTTTTTATTTCTTTAAGGAAAAATTTCGAGAGAGAAAAAAAGTATATAGTTGATTCGGTCATCACGAATTGTAAATTCTCTTTACCCGCGCCATTGTTGAAAAGAGTTCGTGTTAGTCTTGTGTTTTAGCTGTTTCTATGGAGTTTTTGTATAATTCTACCAGTATATTGATGCAAATTCTGCAATCTGATTGCCTAAAGTACAATGTCAACCATTAGTGTGCGCTGAAGTCTTCCACGTAAAAAGAATTTTTCTTCTCAAATTTCTCCGATGTTTCGTGGAAAGATTGGAGATTTTATTTGTTATTGAACAACAAATTCAATTCCCGGAAACACTAAAGAAAGCAAATAAACAAAACAACTGTTGTGCGACTCAAAATTAAAAAGTACAAAAGTGCGGAAGTTGTGTAGAGGGCAACAATGTTAATTTTCTGATCTTTTCATCTTAGAGATTCCAATGTACAATATATATCATGTATACCGGAACTGTTCATCAGCTAAAAACATAACAGTGTCAAAATTGAGACAAAACGTCTCTGGAATCTCCAGGGCTATTTACAACGTAATGTCAAGGAGTAGAAGTTTTGTAAAAGAACATCGCTACGTTCAGAGAACAAGTAAGATCATGTTGTTTGCCCACAGTATATACATCAAAAAAGAGTTTTTAGGTCAATCATTCGGTTGACCTTCAGCAGTTCTAAATTAAACACCCTCTAGCTATTGACAACGATTCTAATTTCGTCAAAGCTAAGAGGTTTCCAGAAAGCAATTTCCAGCATTTCGCCATGTCATGCGAGTAAGTCATTATTTATCTATCAGTTACTTCAATCCGCCCAAATTGTTTGCGCAGCACGAAAACGATAGAACATATACATAGGATATTTCTCAGTTCCTGCCCTGTACTCGCCGTTGACGACTGGTTTGATCATGAGTCCTGGGTGAAACTCCCATATAAAAAGTACGGGGGTGCTCGTCGGAAATTTTGAAAAAAAAAAAAAACCCTAAGAGGTACCACGACCCTGTTTTGTGGGCGTGGCTTGAAATATTTTTCACCCAGCTATTAGAAGTACCAATTCTAAAACAACACATTATCTCCTGTCATAGTATTTTCGGCTCAATACCCTAAAACGTACCGCAAAAGTTCCCGCTGTGGAACTTTTGAGGCTAAACACACTAGGAGGTACCAAAACCGCTTTTTTAACCCCTGAAAGGTACGACGAGCCCACCCCCGTCCTTTTTATATGGGAGTCCCCCCCGGAATTTGAGTAGCCTTATGAAGAGCCATCTGGAATCTCCTGCATCAACAGTATCGTGCAGTTCCTGAGTTCTCCCTTTACCACCCAACACAACCTCGTTCCCAGGGTCTCTCATTTTACCGCCCCCTGCGGGCGGTAAGATGTGAGAGACCCTGGGAACGAGGTTGCAACCAACATGGGATTGAACCTGAGCAAAGGAAGGGATTGCACATGCGTATGGACTCTCCTTTTTCTCGCTTCCAGCCTTTTCATTTCTAAGTTGAGGAGCAAGGGTGCGGGTGGGCGGAGAATTCAGGGATTAAACTGCATCATTTTTCATGGGTACTTGTGAATTATTGGAGGAATTTTCCAAAACTATAACGCTGGGAGGTAAACTATGGTGGTCTAGTCTCCCAAACAGCGAGTAGCGGCTTTCCTGTACAATCAAATGTAATACTATGCAAAAAAAAAAAAAAAAAAAAACCGCCCGATCGCAACCTGCTTCAAATTAGGGCTGATATCAATTAGCTACCTGGCTCACAGGATCCGAAAGGACTTGACCATCATGCTGGGTCAGGATAAGAGAGTTTTGTTTAGAGAATGTGCCTTGCGGAGCCAAATTATTGTGAACCAATGCAGTGATACGGCTTTGACTGTGATATGACTTACAGTTAAGTTTAGTCCAGGTAAGGAACTGGCTGCACAAGTTTTCGACTGGCGGGAAACTTTTTATGTGCCACGTCAATAACTTGACAACAGAGCATTTCACTCAGTAAAGAATCTTCAAAATTTATTGAAAAAAGTACATTAAATCAATTTAATTAGTTGACTCCTTCAACTTCCGGGTACCGTGCACCCAAGACTGAACAATCAAAGTGCAACATGTTGCTAAACTGGTGCTATATACAGATACAGTTCTCATATTGCATGTATTGTTAAAGCTTTCTGGTGTCTTTCACCGAAAAAAGCAAACAAACTTCCGCGCCCGCAAGCCAGTTTCCGAGTTCAAAAGTTTTCGAACCCTAAACACATCCTATCACGGCCTCACCAAACTGCTGAAGAAACTGGAAACAACAGGTAAGTAAAATAAAGCATTTGTAAGCTATATAAATTAACAGGTTGGTCCAGCTCAATAATAAAGACAAAGAAGCTAAACAAAAATACGATCAGAGACAATAGATCTTTAACATCAATTTAGTTTATTGTTTTACGTTGTTTATTTTTCCCATCCAACAAAAATATATTCGTTCTTTCGAGGTAATAAGAATGACGCCCTTGATATCGCAATTTGTGTTGATTTTTACATCATTTTCAAATCTCTCAGTAATTCGGCCGACGCCCTGGAGCCGACGGTTTCAGCATAAATTATTTCTGGCTCGTTGATTATTATTAAAGAACAGAAATCACTGTTAGAGGAACTGGGAAATCAGTAACCCCTGAACGCAAACCAGAGAGGCCGACAGATCGCATTGTGTGGTCAAGAACTATTAGGGAGTAGCCATTTATGACCATAAATTTCCGAAATGATTTATCGACACAAAACAGATTAAATAGAGGGCCGGGTCCAATTTAGCTCCGTCAGCCGAGTCCTTTCTGTGTCTTGTCAGTGTCTTGTTGTGCAGTCGGTAGCAATACGCTCGAATGTGATGCTGTTAGGCCCCGTGCTCACACTACGCGGGAGGAATTTGAAAAAACGGAGATTTTATTCTGAAAACCCATCAAACTGATGTTTTCCGTCCACACTACGCCGGAGAAATTTGAAAACGGAGCTTCCGCTCCGTGTGAAAACGCATCAAATGTTTTCCGTCCACACTACGCCGGAGAAATTTAAAAACGCAACAACCACAGGTCATTTTAGATTTGTGTCTGAGGAAAACTCCGTCAGAGAAATCACATGATTGTCGTGACTGCATCGTTTTCGAAAAGTTCTGTTTTAAAAATATTTTCCGTCCACACGAAAACGAAAAGACGGCGTTTTCAAGTTCCTCTGGTTTGAAGAGCGTTTTCGAAAAGCTCCGGACGGATTATGGTAGACAGTAGGCCTAACCGTAGAAATAAAGCTACCCCGTCCAGACTTTCCTGAGTGTAGACTATATCTTCATGGATAAACCATAGGAGAATACAGAAACAATAGAAATGTGAACTTATAGCGTGAATAGTTTCTCGTTCTTGTGTTTTACTCCCCGTTAAACACTTAAAAGTTATGCTAGCCTACAGACGAGGTGGTCTAGCGGGGCGCGCAGAGCTAATTGCTTTAATTGCAATCTCTTTCCGAGACGGCCGCGATACTTTTTGTAGCACCAATAAATCGAGAGTTCTGGGAGAAATCGGAAGGTGAATCAGCATTATAGTTACAGCGGTAACTCTACCTACGCACGTTCATTAACCTTTATTGAAGTTGATTTCCGGTCCGGTTTTCGATTTTGTCAAGAGTGTCGCGCGTTCCGGTCACCAGTGACCGAAAACGCGTGGGCTCTGGGGAAGAGAATTGCTTTGTGACGTTCCCGCCCATTGTTTGTGCGCATCATTGCTGCGCATGAAACTCATGTCGCTATGTTACGCGACGTCTGATCCGGCCCATCGAGAAGAAAGATAAACAGGTAAAGTGCTTGGTACCCTCTATATTGGTCGGTAACCCCCTCTTTTCTTTCCAGAGGTTACTTCCTGACTTCTCACAACCGATCGAATTTTTCTGCTATATTAATTGGTCCTTTGTTTTTCACTCTCCCTCAGATGCTTATGGCGTATCCTGTGAGCGTTCCATTGGCTAGAGAAAAATCAACACTCGTATCGTCTTCTAGTTTCCAGGTGCGTCGTTACTGGTGAGTATAGGGTTGATCTTTAATCAACTCAATTCTTGTCAATGTGTTGCAAAATGCCTTGGCCTGGATTACAATAACGTGGTCTGGCTTCCAAATTTGTCGACGTCAAATTGTCAAAATTTGCCGGCAAACCCTGTTGGAGTTTGGTGGTGGTGGTGTGGTTGGTGGTGATGGGGCCGGGTGGGGCTGAGTCCTGAACGGAACGTGTTACTGAAATGATGGTTTTCGGTGTCTTTCGCCTTCCACATGGAATAAAAGGGGCAGGTTAAGCAAATCACAACCACAACAAGAACGTCCCCAAACAAAAGGTTTAATGAGCAGAACAATATTCTATAGGAATCCCGCCTGTTTTTCCATATTCAAATTTAATACTCGTGAATGACTCGAAGTGTTCGATAAATCATACGGGCCACGTTTTGGTAGATTAATGTTGTATTAGATGTTCTTCGAAGATATAGCGATCATTTATGACTCGAACATTTTCGAATACTCTCAGTTGTTCGAGAGTTTGCGACTGAAACAAGAGATGCACGACGCCACTTCTGACGTGAACGTTTTCGAATACTAATGAATACGTCAAGTATGCTCTAATTTTCGAGAATCGCGCGCTCTGAATACGAAAGTTATGTCACATTTTTCACAGCCAAAGATGTCTTGCGTCGTCAAGAACGGATTTTATGAAGGTAACATACGCTACCGCGTAGTTTAGTCAGACAACACGCTAGTGTTCCGAAGCGTGCGAGTGGAACACGAGACTCATGCGAATTATGAAACGTGTTCATGTTTGAATACTGGAACTGCGGTCTTTTCGTCAACGAGTCGTTTTGCCAACAACTCGTTCTAAGTCGTTTCGCCAACGTCCTACCGGTCAATTCGTCATATATCCAGTACTAATGAAAAAAAAAAAAACTGCTTAATGATGTTTGGAATGCAATCCTGATCCTTGGGTGATCCTTGGGTCAAGAAATGATAAGTCACTGCCAGTTTCGCTTGACTGACTTTAGATCAATTTGCATGATGTTTTTGATAGTTTCACAAGCCGGCTCATGGGCGCTACATCACGGTAATTTTCGCGGTGAAAATTGACTGTTGAATACCAAAGTCCGAGGAGAGTAAGCCGTCTGAAGGCCAAGCTCTTGTACCTTAAAATAAAAAATTAAAAAAGGTGCTCAAAAAAGTATAAACGGTAATGCTTTAACAGTTGCTACAGTATCAGATGATATCAGAAACTAATCGTGTTGTCTCTCCTTTTAAGTTCTATTAAGTTTTGACTATCTTCTCATAATTGCTTGATATAATTCTATCTCAGTTTAGTCGTTTAGTTTTCGCAAATTTTAGTACAATGTCACTTGTTATTTGTTGCCTAATAGTTTTATAACGATCACAATGAAATAAGAAATGGTTTTCGTCCTCAGTTTGGTTAGAGCGGTAGTATTGACAAAACCAAAACTCACCGAAAGTGTTTTCATCTGAGAATAGTGGCGTCCCGCTCTCTTGAAAACTCTCAGGTTCAGGAAGGCTTGCATACGGCTAAAAGATAGGACAAATAAGTCAATGTTCGTGTTTTTTACTTAAAGCAGATGTAACTAAAACTTAAACAGTACTTAAGGACAATTTTTTTTTGTTTGTAAATTGAATTTACGCTTTACAATGTAACTGACTTATATAGGAGTCTTCTAAGACCTAAGACCGAAGAGTAACCTACAAAAACCTAAGTTACATAAACATAAGTGCTTGTACTTACTATTGAGGGGTCACTGATCAAAGAGGCCATGTCTTCCTCCATTCTGGTACTCGTCTCCTTGCACATCTGGCAACTCCAGTCGATTCCCTCTCCAGACTGTACAGCGGCGCGGTACTGGGCTCGGGATATTCCAGTATCGCAGCTACGATGTTGCCATCGGTAGCAGCCTTCACATTGGAGGTATTCCTGGCGCGGGCGAACGGAGAAGTTACACACGTTGCAGATATTCATGACGTTGAGTTGATCGAATTGAATTCAGTTGCTCTAAAGCTCGAATGAAGATCCAGTATTTTTGGGGGCCTTTTATACTTATGGTATCGGATCAGAAAGGTAAGCGTGATAAAATTCACAGTTCTGATTGGTTAACAGGAAACGTTCATATTCTAATAAGCCTAAAAACAAAAATCACATAGACGACGCTAATTAGTGTCTATTGTAGTTTGACTTGTGACTTTTTCACATATTCTAAACAATAGCGAAACTTTTGATTTTTTTTTCAAACAGGAAAAGAAAGGTTAATTACACACGCGCGCGTGATAAATGAATGCTGAATGTTTAGGTTTTTACAGAGGACTTTTAACTCGTAGTTTTAGTAACATTCAAGCTGTATTGATTGTTATAAATCAGTTACGCTTCCTCCCCCCGTTAGTGTTCATACAAAAAACAATCTTAGCGGGAGGGGTAGCGTAGCAGAGAACTGTCGTCGTAAATAATGAGGTGCTCTTGCATGGAAAATAACTCTAGGTAAGGGAATGAAATAAATGACAACACACACAAGTGTAGGTAAACTTTTATTTAGACGTTGGCGAACTGACCAGTAGGACGTTGGCGAAGCGACTCAGGACGTTGGCGAATCGACCCAAGACGTTGGCGAAACGACCGGATACCGAACACTGAGGCATACGTGAGGTTTTAAGGTATTCTAAACGACAAACTTCAAGTGTTCTGTGGTGTTCGGCTGGGACACGAGACTCATGCGAAGTATGAAACGTGTTCATGTTTGAAACTGAGGCATACGTGAAGTTTTAAGGTAGTCTGAACGACAAACTTCAAGTGTTCTGTGGTGTTCGACTGGGACACGAGACTCGTGCGAAGTATGAAACGTGTTCATGTTTGAATACTGAGGCATACGTGAGGTT